GAAAGTAACTGAACTGTCCTTCCAGTGGAACCTTCCCTTCTACAACCTGTGTCTGAAACTGGCGCCGGCATTAGCCACCGGTAACACCGTTATCGTCAAACCGGCCGAACAGGTATTCATTGAAATTTATATTTAAATATTAAAATTAATATTTAATTTTTTCATTCATTCACTTCAGACCTCTTTGACTGCCATATATTTGGCGAAACTCGTGAAAGAGGCCGGCTTTCCGCCCGGTGTTGTCAATGTATTACCGGGTCAGGGACATGTCACCGGTGCCGCGTTGGCTGAGCACATGGACGTCGACATGATATCATTCACCGGCTCCACAAAAGTGGCAAAATTGGTGCAAATGATGGCCGGGAAGTCAAACATGAAGAGAGTAACCCTCCAAACCGTCAGTAAATCTCCTTTCGTTATCTTCGACGACGCGGACATCGATTGGTCGGCAATGACTTCGGTATGAATTCAACCACTTTTCCATCATTTGAATGAAAACCTAATTTTGAAGACATTTTCAGCACTTGAGTGTGTTTATGAGCGGGCCATGCCGGACAACGTGCAGGTGATTCTAGATACAGGTGCTTCGGTAAATGCTGTTCAAACACGTGTTTACGCGGCTAAACACGTTTTTGGCTCAGGAACCGCTGGGGAAACTGTTGGCGTGTCTACAGGGCCCACAGATCGATGAACACCAGTTCAATGAAGTCATTCAATACATAGAGTTGGGCCGCAAGGAAGGCGCCAAAGTGTTGACTGGAGGCAAGCGATGGGGAAACAAGGGCTGGTATATCGAGCCCACGGTGTAAGCCATTCGTAATCCAAATGATTATTACTTGAGACTAATTGATACGATAATCGCGCCGACAGTTTGTCTGACGTGACCGACAATATGCAGATCGCGAGGGAGGAGATGACCGGACCCGTGATGACTATATTGAAGTTCCGGACCATCGATGAGGTGATCGATCGCATCAACGACTCGTACTATGGTTTGGACGCCGGAGTGTTCACTCGCGACACCGATAAGGCGCTGTACTTCGCGCAGGCCGTGCGCACCGGTAACGTGTGGATCAATCACCACATCTCCATCACCCCTCAGATCCCGTTTGGGGGTTACAAACAGTCCGGAGTGGGACGGGAGGCTGGAAAGGATGGTCTCTACGAGTTCACTGAAATTAAATCTGTAATAAACATTCAATTATTTAATTAATAATCCTATTGACAGTAATTATCATTAAATTTTATCCATAGATTGTGCTCAAAGTGGACCAGAAGTTGTCATAAACTTATCACAACTTGCAATGACATACAGTCTATTTAATAGACACTTATGTGACGGTTATTATAATGTTTTTGTTCTTAATTATCAACAATTTAAAATGGTTTTATATTTAGTGTCTGATATAATCTAAATTTAAATGTTTTTGCTTTATTTAACTTTTATAATTGAACTCAATATTAAATGACTGAAATAAAATGATTTCTTTACCCAAAATAATTTTTGTTTTAATAGTTATTTAATATAAAGTTTAAAAAAATTTAGTTTATATTTTAATAATGCATTCACTGAACAAATATTAATTGAAATGAATGGTTAGCACAAGACTTTTTGTGTCCAAAACTGTATGCAATGGTCTTTGAGTTGGTTTCGTCCATAATTTTGCGGACTTTCTCATCAATATTCTGGTCATAACTGCCATTCCGTTCCGGTTTAGGTCTCTCCTTATCATGTGTGGCCTCCATTTCGGACTCAATTTGCGACAAATTAGTTGAGTTTTGCTTCAAATCCAGTTTCTTATTATTTTTACGACCGTTTAGTTTCGACTTCAGTTTCAACGGATTTTTCGCCACATTTTGGTCCAAAGTTTCGTTTTTATAGTCTTTGGACTCAATATAACTATCAGACTCCAGGTTTGAGGACTTGTAGTTGAGTTTGTTGTCGGAACTGGACTTTTGTCTCTGAGTGTGGATCTCATTCTTGTCGCCCAGAGTCGAGGCATACAAACCATATATGAAATTGGCGGAGGGATTGGGTTTGTCCCGAAAGGCCGACTCCTGTCTCTCGAGCGACTCGTCTTCAATACTTTGAGGCAATATCGGTGTCCTCTTCACCGGCCCCTCCCTTCGCTCCGGACTCGCCACCAGTTTTATCTTTGGACTCGTTTTAGACTTTTCTCGCCTTTTGAGACAATCGCAGCTAAATATACACAACAAGACAAACACTAAGATGACGATCACCGGAACAAATGCAGCCAAAGTGATGTATAGGATGGGAGCGCTTTGGGACCAGGATTTCCTATCTCCTGTGCCCCCCGAGTCTGTATTGGCCACCGATGGCCCGCATAGTAATCCGACCATTAATGGGACGATTGCTGTCGTCATATAAATACTCGATTTTAAACACATCCTCTAATGGATTATTAATTTGTATTTCAATCTAAATGTAAGTCAAGTATACTTTTATCCAAAAGAGTTATTAGTTAGACGTTTAGCTTTTTGTTACAGCTTTTTTGAACAATTTGAATTTACTAAATGTAATTATTAAAATATTAAACACGAGATGTTTTATACAGAATCAGTATTATTTAGTAGCAGGCTCTTTTTTCACAAAATCGATACTGATAATTTTGATAGTACAGTAATTTTCTACATTATATTACTAATAATTTGCAATAATAAAAGTAACCTCATGGCCACAATTAGTATTTTATATTTA